TCAGGGATTTAAATCAAGCAGTTAGGTTCATAGCTTAGTGCGTTAACCGCTGCGCCACGTGCATACAGCAGTCGTCATTCGCAACGAAGTGGTGTCGCCACAGCGACTGTGCCAGGCTAGGTGCACGTTGAGGACACATGGAGTGTCTAAGGCTCGCTGGCAGGAGGTAACGGGACAGACCCAGGTGTTGTTGCTGGAGGGCGCCACTTGCAACCCCAATAGCCACAAACGACAATGGTCCCCCGTATGGACTTTTAACAGACTGTTGGGACAAGTGCTGTTCGCCGGCACGACACACGAGGTGATGGGTGGCGAAACACCACCCACGGTCGCCTTTGTATCCCCGGTGGCTTTGTTTACACACCTTACCAGGTACTCTTTTGAGGCTGAGTCAACCTAAGGGAGGCCCAGGATCGATTCAGATAATCGTCACTGGTGTTGGTCGGCCGTGAGCGAGAATCAAACTCGGGAAGCTGGGGATCGTAGCGCAGCGCGCTAACCGCTACACCACCGCTCCCCACCATACAAAGACAAAGATCTCCGTATAGCCTTAACAGACTGTAGGGGCAAGTGCTGTTAGCGAGCAGCACCTATGAAGGCCGGAACGGCACACGGGAGGGTGGGTGGCCAGCACCACGCCCGACCGCCTTTGTCTCCCCAGTGGCGATGTTCACACGCCGCACCGGGTACTCATTTGAGGCTGAGTCGACCTATGGGGAGGCCCAGGACCGGTTCAGACGATCGTCACCGGTATTTTGCCGTGAGCGGCAATCGAACCCGGGTCGCCTGGTTCGCAGCGCAGCGCGCTAACCGCTACGCCACCGCTCCCCACACGCACGGGCGCGCGCGTGTGTGTGCGTGTGTGCGCGTGCGCGCGTGTGTAATTGGCGCGACGTCCGCGCGTCTCTTGACCTACCGCGTTCGGATGCGGTCACCGTCAGCCACGTGTCGATTGATATATTTTTAATTGCAGGGATCGCGTCAATGGCAGGGAGGCGGTAATTAAAGGCGATGGGAGCCGACGCGGTGGGGGGGGGGGGGGAGGTGCTGGTGGGGGGTGGGGGGGGGGCTCGCGGCGCATATCCCGATCCGCCAAGTCTCGCACCTTGCCGCCGTGAAAATTCCTCGCAGTTTTAATCGCCACTGCAGTTGTTTATTGCGACGTTTTACACGGCCTACCGTCCCCGACAAATCTGCTCGACTGCCCACCACCACCACTACCACCCCCGCCTCCCCCTCTTCCTCCTCCTCCTCGCCCCGTTTTCTCTCTCGGCTCATCTCGCACTAAATAAACACATTAAGCTTAAAATAAAGCCCCCCCCTCTCACTCTCCCTCTCTCCCTCTCTCTCCGCAGCTTGATGGATCCGCTTATATGAGCGGCCCAATTTCGTCCCAGCGCTTAATCATTAATTGATTGTCTTTGTTTGTTGTGATTACCGCGCCGCGTTGTGTCCGGGACTTTGATTGCGGTGCTAAGGAGCGGTTTCCATCCGCGTGTCTCAAGAAGAAAAACATTCCCCCTCCCGCTCGCCCCCTCCACCCCCCCCCAATTATAATACGATTGTGGTGTTGGTATCATGTTGTTACGACGAGGAACCCATTGGGGACTCCCGCAAAGCAGGGTGTCATTCATATTCCAAACAAAAACACGGAGCGTGGAAGAAGATACTACAGAACTCATTCTGAGATTGCTTAAAATTCCCTCATCCACAACTAGGGAGTTGCTACGCTTTGTCACACGCACCGCTGTGGCTACTGTTTGCCGTATATTTCACTTAAACCGATACACGTGATCAGAATTGGACGTTTTGCCACCGTAAGTGAAACATCCAAATTCAACAGGATGGAAGTTTTGTTTTTGTTTTTGCAGACATTGGTGACTGGGCTGAGACCAACGACTCCGCTACTCTTGAGCACCCACTTTATTCTCGGGCGGTCGAAACACAGACTCGAACTGACGTTCTCAGCGGGACCGGCTCAGTGCTCAGGAGCCCTAAGCCACCCGACCGGCCTCATCACCCCACGTGTCCTCATCGTTGAGCATCAATAAACCCCGCTGTACTTTTATTCTACAAAAGCGGCCAGACTTTCCACGTGTCATCCATACAAAGTATATGCGGAAGCTTGTTTTTAGGGAACTTAGAGTGTTTCTGTTGTCTCCTCGGCCATATACAGTACTTATCAGCAGTCTCTAGCCGCACACGTGCTCGCTGATGAGCCCTGACGAGGGCGAAACGCGCCCACGTGTCTCATGCTGCCAGCTGTCAAATGCCTTTGTCGAATGTCTGTTGGCGGAATGATTGAGTGGTGTTGGTCAGGGGCACGAAGTTACCGAAAGTTTACCGGTGTACATATATCCAGCGTTCGTGCGCGGAAAAAATGCCCATTCTTTCAATTGGCAAACAAGTCTGTTGGAAAAAAGAGAAACTTACAATGTAATGCATTCATTCACCTATTCCTTCACTCACTCTTCCGTTTATCAAGTTTAGAACGCACTTCCATTGGCCCTGCGCTCGGCTCGAGATTAACTCCTTCCCTGTTTAGCGTGGCTCAATTTTTCCGGCATGAATAAGATCGTGCTGAGGCTCAGATAATTGTCAAAGCCATGGAGATGATGGGGATTTGGTGCGCCTAGGTGACGAGATGTTAACTACCTCGCCTGGTATACAGGAGGCATCCCGACGTTGACGCCTGCTGCATATTTTTTTTATTTTGCATGTTATCTCCCTGGTTGCGTAAAATTTTCTCCGGGTCCTCTGGATTTTCGTTCCACATTTAGAAATATGCATTTCGAGTATTTGGCTGCGTTACGTTTTCACATGATAAGCCACTTCGTTGAGCTATCATTTGTGGCCAGCTCGCTTCTGAAAAAGAGCTGTATAGCTCGGTGGGCCGTGTCTGGTAAATAAAAAAAAAATAGTTTAGTTTTAGATGACGAGGAATGTTAAAGAAAATCCCCGCTAGAATTGTGACTGCTGTACGCTGTTAGATGCCTGTGCGAGTTGAGTTTCTCTCCTTTGAACGGTGCTCAGAGAGCGCAGCAGTCCACCTTGTCACAAAGCGCCGAGTGTCGCTTTCACGAGGAGCGAACCAGTCTCAGTTTTGACCAAGAGTTTCCGTATAAAATGTACGGATTTATTACAACTCTCTAGTGGGGAGTAAGTATGCCGCAGTGTCGGACTTGGTGCGCACAGAGCGTGCATGACATTAGAAGTGGGGATGGGGGGGGGGGACCTGGACGAACATTAACATTCTACATTGCCAATGCGGCGCGTTTTGCTTTGCAATGAAAGCTGTTCTACAAATGCGCATCGCCGTAATTTGCGCAGTGAAGATTTCAGTTTTATAGTTTGAGTGTGCAGGTGAGGCCCGTCAATGACCCTTAATATCGTCAATATATTAGCCCCCATCAGGTTGTATATGTTGATATATTTACGCACACATCTTGAAGTTATTGACACAACTATTAATTACGCATTATCACATATCCACTTTGCTAGGCATTGACAACGACGCGAAACCTCAGCGCTTTTCATACACGTCGTACGCATTTATAGATTTCGTGTGTCGCATAGCGAGTACGCGTGTATGTGTTTCTATGTGGGTGTGTGTGTGTGTGGGGAGCGGTGGTGTAGCGGTTAGCGCTGCGCTGCGCTACGAACCGGGCGTGCCGAGTTCGATTCCCGCTCACGGCCAACACCGGTGACATTTATCGACTCAGCCTCAAATGAGTACCTGGTTCGATGTGTAAACATCGGCCACTGGGAAGACAAAGGCGGTCGGGCGTGGTGCTGGCCACCCACCCTCTCGTGTACCGTTCCAGCATTCAAAGGTGCTCGTTGACAGCACTTGCCCCAAAAGTCTGTTAAGGCTATACGGGGGGATCTCTTTTTTGTGGCTATGTGTGTGTGTATGTGTGTTGCTGCTGTGTTTCATTGTTTCACTGCTATAAATGCTGTTGGAGAATCCCGGGTTACTATGAATAGCGTGCGCCCACGCAGTCCCACACAGCATGACAAACGCCTTGCTTGTCATCGATTTTTTGTTTCTTTCTACTCGACTGCTTGATTTGTTGTGCATTTGTGTTGGCGGCCCGGGGTGTTGGGTGAGGGATTCTAAGGGGGTGGGTGGTAAATGGTGCTTGCTGGTGGTGAGTGGTGGTGCGGTGAGGGAGGGAGGTGGAGGGGAGGAGAGGGAGGAGGGATGGAGGGAGGGAAGGCGGGCCGGCGGGAGAAGCGAAATGCGTGAGTGTGTGCGTGAGTGTTGGTGGCAGGGGGTTGCAGAGGGGATGGTCTGGCGACGTCACAACCGGAACACAGGCAGTGGGCCATTTAAAAGTCATCATTTAAATGAGAGGCATAGGTCCAGGGAGGGCTCGGGCGAGGGACAGGTGTGGGGTGATAAGGGGCTGCGTCGGCACCGCGTGCAGCCACAAGACCCGCGCCTGCTGTGGTGCATCGCGGACAGCGCAGCACGGCGCAGCGACTCGGGGACTGACTGCCGCCTGATCTTTGAAGAGAGACCGACAACGCAGAAGAGACAGAGTCACAGAGAGCGAGAGAGAGACAGACAGACAGAGAGAGACAGTGACGTGCTGAGAGAAGAGAGGAGTCTTAGACATTTAGCGCGGCGTCCTCGGGACTACTGCGCATGTAATTCACGCGGTGGTGACGTCGCTAGGGGAAATATTCGCGGCGAATTGATCCGCCCGGCAGAGGAAACCGGCCCGCTCGTCCCATCTCCGGCAAATCGAGTCGCAGACCCCGGACTCGCGACCGTCTGCGTCGCTGCGGCTCCCAGCGAAGCCCGGAGCATCACCTCGCCACTGCCATCCTCACCCCTCCTGTTCCTAACCCCCGTGCCTCCATCTCCCCCCCCCCGCTCCTCCATCCTCGCCCCCTTCTCATCGCCCCCACCAAGCAACTAACCAAGCCCCCCACGTCCTACGCCCCCCCCCCCTACTCCCACCCCCCACTCCCCGCCCCCCCCCTCCCACCAGAACCAACTAGCCCCCCCCACCACCCCCTTACCCTACCCCCCATCCTCATCATCACATCATCCTCCGCTTGCCCGGCCGGTTGCATTGCAGCAAGAGGTTGCGCCGGCGAGGATTAACGACCCCGCTGTCTCCATCGACCGCGTCCTGCGCCGCAGCGAAGAGCGCCGCGCGCCGTCCAAGATGCGACCCTCGCACTGCCGGCGGCCACTCGCGTCCCTGTAAGTGGCGGTGCTTCGAGCGCTCCTCGCCTCTCTCCGTACATCCAGCGCACAATTTGATCGTTCTTCTGCAGCGCTTTGCCCGCTATGCTCGCCTCCTTGAGAGGGATGGGTATTTCAGCACGGCGGCGGTCTGTATGCGCGTGTGCGTGCCGTGGTGCGTGATTTGCGCATAGCTACGGGAGACCTTTAAAGCGGACGGCCCGCGCTGAACTACAGGCTGTGTAGAGGTTATGCAAGGGCTTGCGATGGGGGGGGGGGGGGGGTTAATATTAGCGGTGAACAGATAATAGTTAGTTACAGCGATGATGATGTTGACGCTACTAACGATGCAGCGACCGAAACGTTCCGATTGACGCTGCTTGTATCACTGCGTTGCAGAGATAAGAATTGTAAAATGTGCAGTGCGGCGGAGGGGGGGGGGGGGCAGGACAGGTACTCGGGCTTCTGTGCGCGCGATCTGACCTCTGTAGGCGTGCGCTGCGCGCGTGTGTGTGTGCGCGCCTGTTTTTGCATGCACGAGTTTGTATATTTGTCAACGCACGTATACTTGTGCGCGTGTAAGAAAGCATGTGTATTGTATGAGTGACTGAATGCGTGTCTGTGTATATCGGCAGTCTGTTAAGGCTATACGGGGAAATCGTTGTCTTTGTGTGTAGGTATATAAAACTGCTTTTTTGTGTTTAGTTTGTTGTTGTTCTGTCACACCTCCGTTGAGTACATACGTATACTGAATATAAATAGTGTATACATGTGAATGTATGAATGCGCGCACGCATGTGTGGATGCGAAGCGGGAATTGAACTCAATTATCTGAATCGGTTCTGGGCCGCCCCTAGGTCGACTCAGCCTTAAATGAGTAGCTGGTGCGGTGCGTAAAACATCGGCACTGGGGAGATAAAGACGGACGGGGCGTGGTGCTGCCCACCCTTGACAGCACTTGCCCCAATAAGTAAATTGAGGCCACACGTTGGGATGTCTGTCTTTGTACGCACGTATATGTGTGTATGAGATTGTGTGGTCGAGGCTCGCCGATAGCCTCCCGTCGCTCGAGGAACCCTGGAGGCGCGTGTCACCTGGCACAACAGCAGCAGCAGGATGAGGAGGAGGAGGAGGAGGCACGTGTTCAGTGAGAGATCGTCCGCAGCGAGCGAGCGCGGCGGGATTGTGCCGCGGCTAAATCTGTTTTGATGGATTTCTTGTTGTTGTTTTCTCGCAGATGCCTACACTTCCTGGTGCTCTGCTTTCAAGTGCAGGTACGGGACCGCTGATTCTACTTTGATAGACGACGCGAGCAACAGTTTGTCCGGCCCCGTGACGTTGAAGCGTTCAATGTCTCAGCACCCAATATATATTTTATGAGCGTACCCCGATCGTGTGAATTGTACACACACTGACACACAAATACAAATATCCCCCGTTTAGCCTTGCCGGACTATGGGGCCAAGTGTACACGCGCACGCACGGCACATATCCAAGGGTGTGTCGTTGTTGCTGCTGTTGCTGCTGCCGATTTAGACTTCTACGAAAGTTGTCTTTATTTATATTTGGGTGGAAACGGTCGAAGTCCGACGTCGATGTATCCCATCGGCGGCACTGGTGGTTACGCATCCGACAAAAAGAGGCGAAATATTTTGGCAGAGATGATGCATCGCCACGTGCGGCGCAACAGCTTCTCGAGGTGTGAACAAGTCCATCGGGGAGGGGGGGGGGTTAGAGGACAACTCAACCGCGCAATACTCGGGGGTAAAAACTAAAAAAAAGTTGGTCGAAAGTATCGAGTGTTCTCACAAAAAAAGAGTGCTCGGTGATTGAAAGTTTTTTTACGGATATGGGAGAAGAAAATAAAAGTTACCGGAAAGTTATCGATTCGTGATCCCTTCCACTTGATCCTAACAGCTCCCACAACCAGCCCGTGGCACAGACGCTCTTAACTTGAACAGAATCGATATTGATGATGCGCCGATTGGTCACGCCGTGACCTCTGTGCGATTCAGCTGTCACGAAACAACTTCTGGACAAGATATATATCTATGAATGTGTAGCTATAACTGTAACTAACGGGGATACCATAGCTCACCACGAGTTCATAGTAACCATGAAAGACAAAACAACGACAATAATCTCCCGTTTAGCCTGTAAAAGACTGTTGGGGCAAGCGCTGTTAGCGAATAGCACCTATGAAGGGCCGGCACGGGCACACGAGGGCGGTGAGTGGCCAACAACCACGTCTGGCCGCCTTTGTCTCCCCGAGTGGCGATGTTTACACACCGCACCAGGTACTCATTGAGGCCGAGTCGACCTAGTAACCACAGCACACGTACGCACATGCATGCATTGCTTCGGAGCCGCTTATAGCCCCGCGACGAACGAAACGTCCCGGGTGTAGCCCAAACGGCGCGGACACTCGTAGAGAGATGATCCCTCCTCATCTTGGAAGCTAGCAGATAGATGGCAGCAGAAGGCAGCGGGCTGCGTGAGTCTATATTCATTTTTATCATAATGCGCCTTCTCCTTTGTTGCTACTCGAGGGAAGTTTTATTTTGTTGTTTCGTTTCCTATCTCTCTCTCTCCATCTCTCCAACGCCGAGAGTTGGTTAGAGTTGCGAAAGGTTTAGACGTTTCGGGACGTAGGCCTGCAGCAGGTGCCCTTATCCAGTGGGTTCATGTATACTGTTTCAATTCTTAGAGCATGTTAGAGAGCCCGTTGAGAGCAGAAATCTCATGTTCTGTTTTAAGGGAGACCTGGGAACACGTACAGGACTCATCTATGTGTGTTGAACTTCTTCTGTACCGTACGTAGCCAACCGTGCTAATGGCTAGGGTCCTAGTGCTACAATAACGAGTTAAATCATCTTCACGGCAAACGACCCAACATAAGAAATGTCAACATTTAAACTGATAATACAAATTATGCAATTGGCTGTATGTATTTATACGTATTAATACCACACACCCGCACCCACCAGCGTGGTGAAGTATGGTCAAACTTCGCCCACGACTGGCACGGCGTGTGAAGACCTTCATCCGGCAACGGATTGACAGAAGGGCTCTATGCATGCGTGCACTGCTGCACAGTTATTTGTACCTGCGAGCGCTGTTATGGATGTTTTGTATCGGCATCGGTCATGCTGTTAGCGCGAACACAAGACATATCTTAGCTGGCACGGATCAAAGCCCCTTGATGTGAGAGTATGGACACACATCTCGCGTGAGAGCCCTCCAAAGGGGCTATCTATAGCCTCAATGAAAACAACACTTTATAAACAACAACAGCAGCAGCAGCAACAACAATGCAGTCGTCACAAATAAACACGCCCTCTCTGCAAGCAGTGACACGCATTGAGATTGATAACATTATTTTAAACCAGGTGAGAGCCCATTAAGAGCAGATGGCTCATTTTTTTGTTGGCAAGAGAGACTTGGGTGCTCTAGGTCAAAACAATATGCGTACATTTATTTATTTTCCCAGCAAAGTTTCACTGACTCCTTCCTTGGGACATATGCCCAATTACATTTTTTGAGAGAGAAAATAAACGAGGGCGTCATTTGGCAGGAGTTCTCGGAGAAACCCCACCACGCAAAACGGGGAGGTTGAACAACCCCAAAGGTCTATAAAGACCAACTTTTGTTTTGTGACACGACTATCTTAGCGAGAGAGAGAGAAGGGAGGGAGGAGAGACGTAGATGTCATCGCGTATGTAAAACACATCGATGCAATGCCTGCACGTGTATGCTGAATGTACCTATGCGTACGTTGGTGTATGTACCTGTATCAATGGGTGCATGTCCGCGCGGGCGTGTGTGTTTCTGAATGCAGTGTACGTGCGTGTGCGAAAGCACGTTCACGTACGTGCCTACGCACGCGCGCACGTGTGTGTGTCCGTGTGTGTGAGCATTTACTTGTACGTGAACTGTGAGTACATGTGTGTGCGTGTGTGTTGTTTGTGGGGAGCGGTAGTGTAGCGGTTAGCGTGCTGCGCTATAAACCCGGCGACCCGGGTTCGGTTCCCGCTCACGGCCAACACCGGTGACGATTTTCTGAACCGGTCCTGGGCCTCCCCTAGGTCGACTCAGCCTCAAACGAGTACCTGCTGCGGTGTGTAAACATCGCCACTGGGGAGGCAAAGGCGGTCGGGCGTGGTGCCGGCCACCCACCCCCTCGTGTATCGTTCCGGCCTTCAAAGGTGCTCGCTAACAGCACTTGCCCCTACAGTATCTTAAGGCTATAACGGGGGATTTTTGTCTCTTTGTCTTTGTTGGGCTCGATTCCCGCTCAAAGCCAACATCAGCGACTGGTCCTGGTGCGATGTTTAAACATCCTCACCCACCCCGTCGTGCCGGCCTTAATAGGCGCTCGCTAACAGCACTTGCCCTGTTGAGGCTATAGCGGGGAAGTGAGGGGGGGTGGTGAATCTTTGTGTGGGTGCGTGGGTGCATGTGGGTGTGCGTGTGGGTGCGCGCGTGGGTGCGTGTGGGTGCGGGTGCGTGCGAGTGCGTGGGTGTGCACGAGTGTAAGTAATGGAGAACTTGCCTCCCCCACTCACTGACCAGGCGGCGCCGGATTTTACGCAGCACGTGGAGGCGCAGCTCCAGCGACCGGACGCCGTGAGCCGCAAGCACATCCGCTCCTATCAGCTCTACAGCCGCACGAGCGGGAAGCACGTGCAGATCGTGGGCAAGCGCATCAACGCGCGCGCCGACGACGGAAATAAGTTCGGTGAGTGTGGAGTGAGTGAGTGAGTGAGAGAGGAGCGGTGGCGCAGCGGTTGGGTTAGCGCAGGGGTCGGCGACCAAAATAGTAAGAAGAAGAAGCGTAATTTTTTCGGCGAATTCGGTAAAGAAACAATAAAAAAAACCCTCAAGAGACGCAATGCCACGGTGTATCACGAGACGGCCCTTGATAAATAACTGTCACGAAGCAGCTACAGGCTACCCGACCCTTGGGTTAGCCACCAACAACCCGAGTTCACATTTCCAGAACCACGGCCGACATTAACGAATCGATCTTGGGACCTCGGTCCCCCAGATCAACTTAAACCTTAAAACGAATATAACACGAGTTCGTGGTGCGTTGCGTGTGTGCAAACATCGCCAGTAGGAGGGATACAAAGGCGGTCGGACGTGGTGTGGGCCATACCACCCCTTCGTGCATTGCCAATAAGTGCTCGCTAACAGCACGTATGTGTGTGTGTGTGTGCTTGCAATACAGAGACAACACCACACACGAGGGACCTTTTGAGGGTTGAGTTGAACATGTATCTGCTTTCCAGTATGGGTGGCCACAATATATAAAGACACTCGCTTGAATCTAAGTTTCGTTTTTATATTCACAACTGCTCGCTTGGAATGAATCATCCATCCCAAATGCACACACACACACACGCATACTTATTTGATCGACAGAATATGCACCTATCAACTTTGCATGCTCATACATGTCGACACACACACGTACATACGTATACACATAGGTGTATATGTGTGTGCCATGTATGTTGCGTGGCATGTATGTATGTGGTATGTATGTTACACGTGCCCCAGATGTTGGTATCATGCACTGCCCAGCCCGTCGTTTCGACCTCAGTCCACCGCGCAACGCGGGTCTCTCCCCGCCGTCTATCAGGCTAAACGAGAGACCTTTTTTTTTTAATTCTGTTTGCTAAGTGATCTGAACTTGCCCCATGCCTATAACCCTCCGCGCCCTAGGTCCGCTGAGCCTCAAACGATGAGAGCAGGTGGACTGTGTACACGAAACAACTTCAACTTTAAACAAAAAACCCTTTCCCAACAGCTCGCCCAATACGGCAGCAATGTAACCCGGCGGGAATCACGTACACGTGTCTTTTCTTAAGAAACGTGTTGCAACTACCTGGTGTCTTGACGAACGTCGGCAGTGATCGATCCACTGCTGGATGAAGGCATCTCGGATGTTGCTCGATAGGTGCTCGCTAAAATTACGTGTCGCTGCAGTGAGTGTGTGTGTGTGCATATGTACGGCATGTATGCACACTAGACGGTGAACAAACTGTGCGTGTGCATTAGCTCCCTTACATTCATCGAGACTATTGGGGCAAAGTTCTTCTTTGCAAGCACCCACATGCATTAAACATTCACACACGAATACCCAACCAAGAATACACACGTTCAATGCAAACGCAGACAGATGTTTCCCGCACCTCCGATTAGCACGGCTGGCTACGTGCGGTGCGAAATAAGTTCAACATATGTACACACATGCACACAGACAAAGGGTCATACACAGACACACAAACTCTCGTAATGTATAAAGACACATAGACAAACACAAAGGTACCAAATACAATGCTATCTGGACTTACGTAACATCTAAAAAAAATGCAACTGCCCACTGAGCATGCTGTGCAAAGCATTGAGACATTGGAATCTTGGGGAAAGGAAGGTGATTTATTTACACACACACACATATACCCCCAACACAAAACACTCACGGAAACACACACTCGTACAAGCCTAAAATAAGGACAGATTCAGAGTGTAATGAAGCTAACGTCTGGGTCACCACAAAGACAAAGATCCCCCGTTTAGCGTTTTACAGACTGTTGGGGAAAGTGCTCTTAGCGAGCACCTATGAAGGCCGATACGGCACACGAGAAGCGGGGGGGGGGGGGCAGCACCGCGCCCGGTCACATTTGCAGACAGCACCAGATACTCATTTGAGGCTGAGTCGACCTAGGGGAGGCGCAGGACCGGTTCAGATAATCGTCACTTTGTGTTGGTAGTGCCCGGGAATCGAACTCGCGTCGCTGGGTTTGTAGCGCAGCGCACAAACCGCTGCACCACCGCTCCCCCCCCCCCCCCCCCCCCCCCCCATTGAAGAGTCAGGAGAACGTAGACGGCACGTGGTCCGTTTAACTTGGCACAGACGAAATGCGCGCGTGTTGGTCAATGGCAATGGCGCAGGAAGCTGCTCCTCACACCCCCCGGTGTAACTCAAGATAACACTCCGGATCGCTCTGCCTACCCGGTTATAATTACACGCGGAGGGGCTGGCGGCATTTGGGCGCTCAGCTGATTCAAGCGATCTCACATCCGCGCGCGCGTGCAAGCAGAAGCCCATCGGGCCCATGGCTCGTTTCGCTTGGCGCATTAAATGTTGTTGTTGTTGTTGTGCCCCCGATGCTTGCGCGGGCTGAAACGCCGCAACCCGCCCACCCCCTTGCCTGTCTGGCCCGGCTGCGCCCCTTGTGTTGCGAGGGCTGCGAAGATACGTGGGTGTGTGAGTTAATCACTCAGCGTGGCAGCCCATGGAGCCGCACACCGGCTCAGACAGGACGTGCGGTGTCAGCTCATCGAGTGAGTGTGTGTGAGTGAGTGTGTGAGTGTGTGTGAGAGTGTGTACGTGAATCTATTTGCGTGTGTGGGGACGGGGAACGGTGGTGCAGCAGTTAGCGCGCTGCGACGCTCATGGCCACCAATACCGGTGACGATTGTCTGAATCGGTCATGGGCCTCCCCTAGGTCGACTCAGCCTCAAATTAGTACATTGTCCGGTGTGTAAACACCGCCACTCGGGGAGACAAAGGCGGCCGGGCGTGGTGCTGGCCACCCACCTCCTCGTAAGCTCGTTATCCTTCACGTGTGCCGTGTGTAACCACCAGCCTATAGGCTGTTGATGTTTAAAGACAAAATAGACACTAATTTAAAGACATCATGCAGACATGATGCCTTGTTTGTAGGTGTCTATTTGGTGTTTGAACGTCTTGACACCTCCTGTATTTATGCCAGTAAGGTGTGAGCCCCTTTTTTATCATGAATTATCTCGACACTAACTGAATGCTCCAATAGCCAGCCTATAATAGGCAATGGGGGTAATCTTTGTCTATATCTTTGTATGTATGAAGGTATGGACGTGTATTGAACTCCCTATACTTTATTTAAACAGACTCATGAGGCAAGTGCTGTTTGCAAGCACCTATTAAGCCCAACTGCAGCCACCGATATTCCATAGCAATCGCAGTGGTTTGAGTTCCATTCCAGGCCACGGCTAACATCAGTGGCGAGTGATATCTGAACCGGTCCTGAGGCCCTCTCCTCGATCAATTTCAGCCCTTTAATGATGTACCTGCGTTGCGGGTATGTAAACATCTTCACTGGGGGAGACAAAGGCGGCCGGACGTGGTTCTGGACGGCCACCCCCTGTGCCGTTTTGGACTTCATATAAGAGGTGCTCGCTAACAGCACTTGCCCCCAACAGGCTACATGGGTGATCTTTCCCTTTGTATAGTGCACGACAGAGGCCGCTCGCTTCGTTCATCGATACTGAGCAGCGCGCGGCTGCCCGGCCCTGCGCTCGCTGGGCCATTGCCTCACGCGTCCTGGCAGTCTGACTGCCTTCCCACCCCCCTCTCTCGATACTGTTGGTTTTCCTCTGCTTCTTCTTCTTGAGCGGTACACCTCTCCCGTGTTTGTCTAAGGCGACTGTAACAACTCCCCGTCAATGAGCTTCACCCGGAGCTACCGACGTTGATGTGACATTGTCCTAGACGATAGCAATACCACAGGGCAAGCAAGTGGGGGATGGAGGGGGGGTTCTCCTTCATTATTGTTCTCCTCGCTTTGCACAGCGATCACTCCCCTGGGTACTTTGACCCAACAACTCGGCAATCACATCTTGTTGCATAATAAAGGGCAGCGGCGATTTTATTCGCCGCTCTGCGCTCGCCACAATCACTTTTGCTTGCCACAGTCCGGCTTCCGAGTGAGACGCACGCGAACACTCCACATCGACCACCTCCAAATCCCTCCCACGGGCTGCCGATACAATCCCAGGTCAATTTCAAGATCGCACTCAAAGTTCTCAAGTTCCGTCCATTAGTTTCGCCTCCTGCCTGCCTCCGTTCCTCCCCCAGTCAACCTTCGCTCGGCGGGAGATCGCTCATTCTCCTATGCTGCCCCCATTGTCTGGCACTGCTTTCCTCCTGCCGTCGGTGCTGTCGCTTCCCTGCCCCTGTTCGCAGTCCAGGCTCAATGAACACCTTACTTCCCCCTCCTCTACCTACAGGCTCGCCTGCCCCTCCCTCTGTATTATAAAATAAAGACAAGTACTGCTCCTGCGACAAATACAATTGTGAATCGTATTATGTACAGAGCTTGGAGTTGTCGCAATAATAAGAATGGGTCGCATGGGTGCCTCTCCACGCATTGCGCAACACGGTTCGCCAGGTGAATCGTTTAACGCCGGGCTGTAATGTGAGAGCACGTGCGACTTGCTTGAGGGATGTGCAGCAGTGTATACGGCCTGCAATAAAGACGCACGAGCAGCGCTTATGGTGCAATAGAAAAATCACCCTGAGCCCGTGCAGGACGTGAAAAGGGGCGACTTGCCGTGGGTATAGAGCACAAACCAACACCACCAGCACGTGCGTTTTAGCAACTTGCGTCGAATGGGCAACGCGCGGTTTTAGCGTACACCTATCCGGCATAAGTTCAGTGCAAAGTGAAGTTGGCGTTGTTTTAATGCAGCAATGTCGAACCTCTTTCGCACGGCACGTAGCCAACTGTGCTGATCGGTTGGTGCTACACACATACGTACACACACACAACGAACACCCCACACGTATGCACATGCATGCATACACGTGCACATAAACGCAAAGAAGCACACGCTAACAAGCACAATGACAAAGATCGCCCTTAGAGGCATAACAGGGCACCAGTGAAGGCTGGCACGGCACACGAGAGGGTGGGTGGCCAGCACCACGCCCGGTCGCCTTTTTCTCCCCAGTGGCGATGTTTACACACCGCACCTGGTACTCATTTGAGGCTGAGTGAACCTAGGGGAGGCCCAGGGCGGGTTCAGATAATCGTCACCGGTGTTGGCTAAACTCTGGTGGCCGAGGTTCGTAGCGCAGTGCCCGGCACCACCGTTCCCCTACCAATCCCTACACCCAAGCATACGCACATACACACACGGGCGCGCGCAAGCAAGCGTACACACACACACATACACCCACGCACTCTCCCTACCACGCCGTGTGTTGTGTTCATTTGCCCAACGCGGTGTGCGTGAGCATCACTCGGCGTTGAGACGCGCTGTGCGGGTCACGGATACCTCGTCGTAGAGGTAATTTGCAATTTTCTCCGCTTACAAGCGTCGTCAGAGACGCCGCTATTGGCGAACGTCTCAAAAGTTTCCGAGTGATTGGACCTCGTTGCTTCGTCATAACATTGCACGTGCGATCGGTTTGGTCGAGGTTGCGTTCGAGGTTGGTGTGGGTGGGGGTGGGGGGGTAGATGTGAAAAATTGCAATGCAATAATTTGTGAATTCGAGCAATAATTTGTGAAGATGGATTATTGGGTACACGGACGTAAGGGTTGGGGGTTGCGTGACGGTTGAGATGCCACTCGCCACTGATGCGAGCCTTGGTCGGGAATTCAGTTTCAGTTTTATTTATTTGGTATAGCCCTGTGAGCCATTCGGCTCTTGATTCGGCTGCAACCGCAACAAACAAAACACGACAACATCTTAAAGTGACTATGTGACTGTGCAAACAGAAAATCCAGGAAAAAACAACAAAATATTCCTGAAAAAGCACCGTACACCAACGCTGTGTGCAAAAATCCCAGTGGGATGCAAGTCAAACAACAACAACCACAAGACAACTTAGATTAAGGCCATCAGTCTAACTCCGTACTACAACAAACATGGCCAAAACAACAAACGTTTTCGACATCACCAAAATAAAGCCATAAAAGCAATGTAACAGCGAGTGGACGGTCAGGTCCACTGATCCACTCATTCCCCTTCCCCACTCCACCCACCATGCGCACACGAAATCGTTTTGATAACAAAGTAGTCAATGAGGTTGGATTGGTCTATCCCTGCGATCATTTTATGATTAAGTTAGTTCTTGGATATATCTGAAAGTAAATGGAAATCGTCAGAGTGGCAGTAGTCTAGCTCTCTGGATAAAGGTAAATAAATAATATGTACGTCTGTCACCCTGTGGGTTTTATGAAGCAATGTTTTTTTTTCAGCAGCCTGTTTTTGTAAGCAGGGCACGTACACGTACTCGATTCAACTGTACTGGAGTCTCATCAGCACAAGTCAGGCCTGTCACACTAATTGTTTGATGGGTACAGGCTTGAGCGACAGCACCAATGGTGCTGCCAGGCATATTAATGTCTCGGCGTCATTCTTCCCCCGCGTTAAAACGTGAGCGCTTGCGCTAGTCGGAAGATCCGCAGTGCCGATTAGTGCGCACCCCCGATTAGCACGGTTGTCTGCGTACGGTGTGAGAGAAGTTTAAACGTACATACACACACACCCACCAAATCTGGCCAATTTCCTGAGTTCCTAAGCCCCATCTCACTAATTTCACCTGCTAAGAGTGGGTTAGGTGCAACTGTGGCAAAATAGCAACTCTCACCAACATTAGCATTAGGTAGGGAAATTCGGCCAAAGGATTGCCAAATGGTTTTGCCCTTCACCCGAGTGGGAGATTGCACGTTCACACAGAGGATCCATGCATAGGCTGATGGACGCAAATGTTACTTTTTTATGATGAGACACAGATGTAATCCTCCTTATTTATTCATTTATTATACCCAGAAGTCTCTATCCACTTTGGTGCATGAGATTATTTTTTTTACTCGGCTAAACTTTTTTTTTACTCGGCTAAACTTTATAACCCCAAAGCGTTACATACCATCGATACATATGTTATAAAATCGTAACGTGTGTCATTATAATCGCTTTCATTGTAGGGTCGTTGTCTTATATAATACAACAAATACATTGCACTAAGTGGTCCAGTATTGTTACGAGATCACATTTTATTGCCATGACCTCTGAGTTCAGTGCGCCATCCATGCACACACTGGCGGTATTCTTGCATTCCGTACAGCGTCTACTGCCGCCTTGAATTGGTTGAAGGACCTTCACGTTCAACTCTGACATCATCAATACAAACTATTGCTTGTCGTACGAAAGCAGACACAGTTAGAGCATGCTCACTTTATGCTTTGCGGCGATTATTGTCTAGCACCATTTTTAAAGCTAAGGTGGCTGGGTGGCTCAGAGGTCAGAGCGCTAAAGCCAGCACCCGCTGAATACCTGGGTTCGCTCCCGGGTTTTAGCCACTTGTGAGTGACCTGGATTCTCACGTGTAGCGAGTTGATGACTGCACAAAAGTACAAACTCTTGGATTAGAACTTAATTTTGTTTATTATACGAAATTCAGCGCCGAGAATTCACAAGTATCATGTTTGACACATTGTGCGAAGGGTAAAAAGCAGCTTGAATAGGGAGGGGGGGGGGTAACAGCAGTTCATGACCGTTCTTATTGAAGAAATAGAGGCTCAAAATAGACGCCGGAGGCGTCTGGAACGACAAAACTCACGAAAGAAAGTCACAGCGTCCTTTGCATGTCAAAGGTGACAACAACTTCGTTCTTGCTAATGTTATGCGCACGGCCTGTGCAACAGACCAGCAGCCTGCTGTAAGCAAGTTTTTTTTTTACATTCATTTCGACTGCAGTAGAATTAATCTGACAGGCGACACCGTACGCGTGGAATTGAAAATGCGGGGGCTGTCACCAATCGCTACCACCACAGTTGATATCTCACCTGTCGACATTTACAAGATCGCCGATAAGCTCACGCACAGACTGCTTCTGTGTATTATACAAAACCGGAGCAGACCCCTCCTCCTCCTCCTCCAATCTCGCACGCACCCGCTAACTTATCGGGGTGTGGGCATTACAAGCGCAAATCATAATGTATTATTTAGTTGGCGCAATTGGGTCGGCGAGTTGGTGGTGGTTTTACGGTGGCACGACGAACGAGGAGTGTCTTAATAACTTCTCACCATCGCGCTTTGGCAAGAGGCTCCTGTAACGTGCGCACACGTCCACATACATACACACGCGCGCGAGCGCATGCAAGGTTTGTGGTTTTGCGCGAACGGCCTCGGCGAACAATGATTCTCCTTAAGTGCGCGCGTGGAGCTAATCACGACGCAGGGAGGGTTCCAAACCGCAGGGCAAAGAGCGCTTAATCTGAAATGTGGCTGCGCGTGTGGCTGCAGCGAGGAAAGGAAGGGGGCATTGGCACCCGGGTCAGAGCGGGTCGCACGCGGGGTGGAATGAGTGCTGCTCTCGTGGAGGAGGAGGAGGAGGAGAGAGCGCAGGAGTTAAGTCACGTGGCTCAGGGATGGCTTACGGCAGGTGCATGGATGTTTGAATGTTGTGGGCTCTGGCTTTGTGTGTGTGTTTACGCCTGTTTGTTTGTGTGCGTTTATGTGCATGCGTGGTTGAATGGATGTGCGTTTGTGCCTCTGTGTTTGGGAATGTATGATTGTGGATGCGCGCGCATGCGTGTGTGTGTGTGTGGTGGGGAGCGGTGGTGTAGCGGTTATCGCTACGCTGCGCTGCGAACCCGGCGGCCCGAGTTCGATTCCCGCTCACGGCCAACACTGGTGACGATTATGTGAATCGGTCCTGGGCCTCCCCTAGGTCGACTCAGCCTCAAATGAGTACCTGGTGCAGTGTGTAAACATCACCACTGGGGAGACAAAGGCGGCCCTCTCGTGTACCGTGCCGTCCTTCATAGGTGCTACTCCCCTAACAGCGCTTGCCCCAACAGTCTATTAAAGGCTGAGGGGATATATTTGTGTGGCCAACCACCCCTCTGGTGTGCCGTGCCGGCCTTCATAGGCGCTCGCAAACAGCACTTGCCCAAAAAGTATGCTGAGGCTATATGGGGGACCTTTGTCTGTGTACGCAATTCATAGAATACCGCAGCAGCTACCGATCGCCCACAACAGCACATTTATCGTATCCAGCCTGCAGAATATTGCTGCGTTTACAACACAAAATAAACAAAGCAAACACCACTACGTTGGGCAATGCATTCGGCCGAAAAAGCGGATGTACAAAGGGCTGTCAATGATTACATTCATGATATAACACACACGCACGCGCGTATGCTCAGGTCGAACACATTTAGCAAATGCGCGGTCTATACCATAAACAAACGCGATCATAATATCCTCCTCGTCCACGCCACCTCGGTTGCTGCAGCTGCTGCTGCTGCTTTAACAGCTGCTGCTGCTATCACCGCAACCTTGGCTGTGTAGATCCCCTCCCCAACTCGTTCTCATCGCCTCCTCCTCCTCCTCCTCCATTCTCTTTGCTGTGTGCCCCGCAGCCAAACTGACCGTGGAAACGGACACGTTCGGCAGCCGCGTGCGGATAAAAGGAGCAGAATCCGGCTACTACATCTGCATGAACAAAAAGGGGAAGCTGGTGGGCAAGGTGAGAGCTGCAACCACGCACCTCACACGGAACTTGCAGCCCGCGCACGTGGGCTGCAAGTGTAGCCTGACACTGGTGCCAGGCTAGGTGCACTTGGAGGACACGTCAAGTGACGACAGCTCGCTGGCAGGCGGTCACGGGACAGACCAAAATGTTGTGGGTTGACATACAACGACAAATACAGACGTACAGACACGTACATAATGCACCTTACAGGCCACGTGGCTTTGGCACGAACCCCTTCTCGCACGCCTCCTCCCACACACAGACATCAACATCAACAACAACCGCCATTCGCCACTAAGTGGCGGTGACGTCACCACATCGCTTGTGCCAGGCTATGTGCACGTTGAGGCCACATGAAGTGTCGAACGCCCGCCGGCAGGAGGTCCCAGGTGCCACGGGTCGACTGACGGAGATGACACATCCATGCACACGGACACACGCACGCACACGTGCTACATACACGCGCGAACACAGCCCACGTGCTCTGCCAATAATTAGATTTTTGAACACCTCTTCTCATTCACACGCACACACAAAGATCCCCCGAATAAGCTAGGATAGAATGTGCCGTCAGAGATCACCTGTTAAGGTCGCCTTTGTCTAGCTCGCGCTGATGATTACACATCATACAAAGGAACTCATTTAGAGCTGAGTCGGTCTAAGGTGAGGGCCCAGGACAAGTTCAGGTGATACTACTTACCGCTGATATTACCTGCGGCCGGATATTGTGCGCGAGCACAGGCACATACAAAGGCAAAGATCCCCCGCGTAGCGTGAACAGAATGTTGGGGAAAGTGGTATTAGCGGGCACCTACGAATGCATATGGTGACAAAGATCCCCCGTGTAGCCTTAACAGGACTGGGGCAAGTGCTGTTAGCTAGCGCCTATGAAGGCCGGTACGGCACACGAGGGTGTGGGTGTCCAGCACCACCAGGCGCGCACACACGCGCATACGCACGCACGCGTCTCGTTCGTGTTTCGAAACAGACCACGTGACCTGTGGTTATAAGCGAGATTGCTTATTGATAGAGGAGGTGATGGAGGTGGGCTGTGGTAGGGGCGCAGTGGTTAAGTGTGTGTCGGGCGGGGTGGTCTGGGTGGGTGCGCGTGTGTGTGTGTGTGCACGGTTGACCCACTCACTCTCTTTAGCACCCGTTTGGCTGGAGAGTTGGTGTCAGTCCCGGCGTGTGGATTGTGGTTCGGGATTTACGCAAAAAAAAGTGCAAGGAGGAGATGGTAAATCTGTACGTGTATAGGCCTTTTTTTACGCTTTCTTTGTTTGCATGAACGCCTGTTATTATTGATTGCGTCTGATAAAAGCACGTTCCGCACGCGTGCACCATTCACGATGCGCGTGTGTTCACGGCACTGCGGTGCGGCACGTTGCTACTCACGCGGTATTATTTGGGTGGAGCGGTGGCACGGTGGTTAGCAACGCTGTGCACTATGAACCCGGCTACCCAAGTGAGTTTCATTCCCGGCCACGGATTAACATTGATGGCGATAGGATATGAGAAATGGATCTAGTCCACACTCCCCGCCACACACCCCCTCTCTCCGTCACCGGCGTGGTAAAGTATGGTCAAACAATCTCCCATAAACTTCATGCGTTTTTTTCTCTCTTATTCTTTACTGCCATTAACCCTATACGATACTGTTGCTAGCCCTATCTTGTCGCTCGTCGTATTTTGTCATTGCTAGTAACATTAATGATTGCTCATACTTGACTGCACTGTTGTTACATAATATGCACGCAGGAAATCAGAATTATTGATGCATCCGCCTACGTCCGAGGAATGTGGATTTCCCACCTCCAGACGCTCGTTTGACCTCGTCATTTGATCAGTGGGGATACTCAAGTAATTTGCAGCTGTGGCGCAGGGACAATGCAAGACACTTATCTACTTAATTTAAGAAAACATTATTACGCTCATAATTCCGCTTAAAACCAAGCCAAAGTACCATTATTACACTTGGATTATACGGTATACTACTAATAATGATTAACTGCATCGTATATTCATATTAGCGTATGAGGAGCGCATTGCTGAGTGGTGCCCCGTGAGTGGAATGTTCGTGGCTTTAGGTGACCGTCAAAGCTCGCATAACGCGGCGTTGACTTGTACGCATGTACGTCGAACTTCTTTCGCACCGTACCTAGCCAACCGTGTCAATCGGAGGTGCGGAAACCAACGGTATCGATGACTTGCACACGGGGCATTCAGTGAGCGATCTATATCGATGGAGAAACCCATTGAAGGTCCGTTGAGACGGCGAGAATTTTCCTTTTGCATTCGTGCTCGAGAGAGGCCCTAGGCAGTATTCTCGACGGCAGTGCATCGAGAGAGGCTTGTGAGCACAAGCACGTACGGTGTCTCAACACCAGCAGCAGCAGAGTGAGACACGTACAAATCACCGCTGGAGACAGATCACGCGGAGAGAGAGAGACGATGCATGCGCCCGTAACATCGTGCCACGCTTTCGCCACAGCATTCAGCGACTTATCTAGGAGCTCGCCTGTCCACATCCAGTGAACGCAAGCTGCACGCAGACAGCGCACGGGATGATAAGGAGATGGGGGGCCGTTCTTCCAGCATTAGGCGCGTCGATGAGTGACGGGTGACTTCCGTAGCTGCGCGATTCGTTCGGGCACCCGGTTTGTCTTGATACAAATGGATAGCGCTTGAGGCCCCTTGTCCAAAGTTGCGACGTTTCCTTACCGCCTCCCTGCACCGACGAGATACCCGCGTGTGCGGTCGCAATCGCGGGTTGACGCATCGTTCATGCGTATGGAGCAAGGGCAGTTGAGCGCCTATTTAGGTGATGGCGTTGGCTCGCAGCCTGCAAAGTGCGGAGTCGTCCCGCTCTTCCCATTGCTGACGGCGACCGACACGAGCGAATCAAACATTTACGACTTTACGGCTATTTGTCAGTCCACTGCTGGATGAATGCCTCCCCAAGCCCCGTGTTGCCCATGGGGGTTATGTTGACGGTACTTAGCCACGCTGCTCAGCGCGGGTTGGTGACGGGGTGGAAAGGAGAGGGAACCGGGGACACGGTTAGATATCACGCACCGCTGATGTTAGCCCAGGCTGGGAAAATTAAAAAAACTCAAATCGACGAGTTTGTAGCGCAGTACTCGTTTGAACAATTGTGGCCATACAGAGTCGATCGAGTAAGAGCCCATTCTGACCAGAAGGGACCAGGCACCTAGGGTGTTAATGATGCGCTGCGTTCACTCGATAGCCTTTGACCTAGGTGGAATAAAAAAAACGTGACCTAGATAAGTCACTCTGATTGCAGTTGCATTAAGGAATGTGTTTTCTATACAGAAAAGATCCGCAGGACGGTCCTCCATCGAGTTCTGACGGTATACGTTGCATTGTAAGCTGTACCGAATGTGCAGTCGTGGCTTGGGCTGACCTTTGACCGCGGGAGTGTTTGTTGATGAACTTGTGCTGTTTGGTAAATGCTGCCGCCTTAAATGTGCGTTGAATGGGCGCACATGGTGGTGGTGCGGGAACACGTGGTGTGTGTGCACGTGGTGTGTGTGTGTACGTAGTGTGTGTGTGCACGTGGTGTGTGTGTGCACGTAGTGTGTGTGCACGTAGTGTGTGTATGCACGTGGTGTGTGTGTGCACGTGGTGTGTGTGTGCACGTGGTGTGTGTGTGTGCACGTGGTGTGTGTGTGCACGTGGTGTGTGTGTGCACGTGGTGTGTGTGTGCACGTAGTGTGTGTGTGCACGTGGTGTGTGTGTGCACGTGGTGTGTGTGTGCACGTGGTGTGTGTGCACGTGGTGTGTGTGTGCACGTGGTGTGTGTGTGTGCACGTGGTGTGTGTGTGCACGTGGTGTGTGTGTGCACGTGGTGTGTGTGTGCACGTGGTGTGTGTGTGTGCACGTGCTGTAGAAGCACCCATCCCGCGACTTCTCCAGCTGTTCATGGCTCGCCGCGGTGGTTATGAGATGTTAACCACCTCGCCTGGTATACAGGAGGTCGTGGGTTCGATCCCGATGGACTTTGGATTTGGTAAAATAAAATAGTTTAGTTTCGTTCACTTCATCAACCTACACGATAGACGCGGTACCTTAGACATACGTACAATACACGCCAGTGGTGGAGCGGTGGCGCCGTGCTTAGCTGATTGAGCCGTGAACCTCACCACCTGAGTTGGATTCTTAGCCACGGCGAGCATCAGTGGCGGGTGGTATATAAAGCCAGTGTCCCCGCGCACCTCTGCACCCCCGCCCGCCCCCAACCCAACACTAACTCGCACTGACCAGCGTGGTGAAGTATGGTCAAACAACCCCCATGACTGACGTGACGCTTCGATGCCTGTATCTCGACATTACAGATTCAATAGAAAGTGCGTCACGTTTTCTTCACCTCAAGCACGCGCGTGCGCTTCGATACTACTCTATGCCTCAGCGCGCGTATATCGCAACGGCTTACAATATATCCCACTCATGTCTGCAGAGTAAACATTAAAATCACCACCACCGTTTTATCTCAGACACAATCTCACCGCGAATTGGTATTTTGTATTAGTTCAGTGTCACGTGTCAGCGAGCCCTTTATTTGTTTACACCCGAGGGTTCATTGACATCGCGACGATTTTGTCTATCAACGGAGTTAAATCATTGTCGTGTCTGTCCTCATATTCGCCACATCGATTCGCGTATCACATGGGCGATTCCCCCCCCCTCCCTCTCGCCTCTCCCCCTACCTCCCTGAATATGAGAATCGTTTTGGGGCCCCGTGATGATCTCCGCTACGTGAACAACGGCCTTGCATCGGCAATTCATCAGAACCGCAGGGGACAAATTGCATATTTCCCTCGGTGACATTCCTGGCTTCTGCGAGTTGTATCCCCGCCCGCAAACACGGATCCATCACCCCCCCTTGCTTGCGGGTTCGCCAACAGTCGGTGTCTGTATGCCCGTCACTCGGCCAACGTGTCAATAATGCGAGCCACGCCAACAACTTCCCCTCCACCTACCCCCCGCATCGACCGCGTTGTTACTGGTGCTGGGCGAGCGTGGAGGGTGGTAGGCGTGTCGTTCGATGAGTGTTAAGGTGACTTTAAAGGACCACCCCCCCCCCTATCTGCGTTCAAATCATCTCCTTCTGTACGGTGAACGACTGCTGATCCCTCTTGCTAGCTTGACCTTGTTTAACGGGGGGGAAGGGGGGGGGGGAACTGGGAGGCGGCAACACGGTCAATGTCACGAACGAACGTTAACCCGACGTTTGAACGCCGAACAGAATGAGTTACATCAGCCGATTTTATTCCACCGCTGTAAGTCTGCTGTAGCGCTCACCCCCGGTGTGTGCGATTATCGTAGAGGTGCTTGGATTCGCGAATCGACGTGTTGGGTTGTTGTTGTTGTTGTTGTTTTAACATGGATCGTGGCGGACTTCTCTCACCATTGGTGACTTCTCGCATAGCGGCACAGCACACAACTGCAGGAAGTGTGGTGGGTGGGTGGGTGGTGGAGCGGTGGCGCAGTGGTTGACGCGCAATCACGTCTAACATCGGTGGCGAGTGATGTCCGAACGGGTCCCGGTATCCCTTTACGCACCTTCAATAACCGTGCGAACCAGCCTGGTGAAATATGGTCGAATTGAACCCCCCCCCCGCCCCGCCCCGCCCACTCTGATTGACACAACACGACTTGGGTAGAGGCTTTCATCCAGCCATCCAGCAGTGGATTGACCTCGTCTGCTGCTGCTGCTGCTCATCACGACGACACAGATCCTCCCCAAACAGCCCCCTCCCGTCCCTCCTCAACTCACTGACCCCTCTCCCTCCCCCGTCCGTCGCTCTCTCTCTCTCGCCGCGCGTGCAGAAGGAGGGTAAAGACACGGACTGCGTCTTCAAGGAGATCGTGCTGGAGAACAACTACACCGCGCTCGAGTCGGTCATGTACGGCGGCTGGTATATGGGCTTCACGCGCAAGGGCCGGCCGCGCAAGGGCTCGCAGACGAGCCAGCACCAGCGTGAGGTCCACTTCATGAAGCGCTTCCAGCGCACCTCGGAGGAGCGTGAGCGCAAGTTCATCCAGGTGGCCACGGGGGCCGCGCGCCGCAGCAAGCGCATGCACGGGGCCGCCGCCGCCGCCGGATCGTCGTCCTCGTCGTCTGCGTCGTCGTCTGCGTCTGAGTCGTCGTCTTCGTTGGCTTCCCGCCCGCGGTAGACGCGCGAGGAAGGGAGCGCGCGCGTTGCGTGCGCGGGCGCGCGGCGCGGAAGAAGGGGCGGACGCGGCAGGAGGGAGGGGAGAAGAGAGAGAGGGAGGGAGAGAGTGCAGAGAGAGAGTGGAGGAGGAGAGGAGATCCCAGAGGTTGAAGAATAATGGCTGGGTGTAGCAGGAGAGAGTGGAGAGGGGGAGAGAGAGGGAGGGAGAAAGGTCTTGAGAGGTAGGGAAATTTGACCGCTGGGGAGAAGACAGTGGAGAGAGACAACGAGTCCGATGGAAGCAGCAGACAGCAGAGAGAACTGGAGCAATGTACATAGCGAGAGAATGTATAAAGCGTGCGTGTGAGAGAGACTTTGAGCAGAGTGAGTGTGTAAACAGTGTGAGAGAGTACGAGCTGTGTAGAGAGACGTAGAGAGAGATGGGGGGTGGGGGAGGTGAGAGAGAACGGTGTTTCAGAAGATATCGTGTGGCCTCATCTCGATCAGATAAACCCAACACCCGCATTATGCAGAAGCAGGAGCCGAGAAAATGAGACAACTAAGACACCTCCATTGTATTTATCATTGACAACAACAACAACAGCAACAACGGCGGTGGCGGGCCATGATGAGAATGAACAATACCGATCTACAAACGGAAGAGAAAGAAGAAAAAAAAAACAAAAATGGAAGTAATTTTTTTACGACGAGATGTTTATTTTTGTAAAAACCCAAACCTCTCGATAAGACTGCGCTGTCAAGAAGAGTGGACGAGTCCTCCGTGTCGCGGCCACTGGCGCCTTCCAGCAGGGACACTGTCTCCCTGCACGTGTTTGCCAATCTTCGCGTATTTATTGAACCAAACGAGCGAGCGATCACAGTACACTCGACACGGGCAAGCCGACCCTTGTGTTCTGTTTCTTTGGTTATTGTTGTTATTATTATTTTGTACGTTTTTTTTTTACACACCGTTCCGATTAGTCGACTGACACTTTAGCGCATCGCTGGACGGTACTATCGCGCAGAAGGGGGGTGGGGGGTAAAGAAGCAGTGTAGCCCTGTGCTTCGTACATTGTACGTTGTCCGCCCTCATCGGAGGAGTGTACGCGATTGTAAAGTTTGTCTGCAAGTGCCGTTAAGAAGAGAAAGATTAAGGGGAGAAAGACGAAGATTTGTTGACCGAAGACTGCATACAAAGAACTAAACAAGACGAACAAAACATGGATGATAAAGAAACACGTTCGTGATGAACTCCATCACAAACAGACACACACAAACACTTACACACGTCTGCAAGGAAAGAGACCACACAGAGAGACAGACGCAATGATGGCTCCGGTACATCCTTGAGAACTTTCATTTAAACTTCAGAAGACTGCTTTATTTTTATTTTTTTGCAAAAAAATAAGATAAATGTGTTTCCGAGGTATTGTAGATTTTTGTAAAGTTTTCCTGCCAGTAAAGAAAGAGAAACGGTTGTATCCTACACAATGTACACTTAAGATGATGCTCCATACGAACCTCACCGTTCACCCGCAGACCAGTTGCAGTATACGCTGAGCTGCTCCGATCCCGCCAGCACACACGCGCTAGCGGCCCCGTGTAGACTGCTCGCTTACAGCCACCCGCACGTGCCGCGCGCCCCCACGCACGGCGCCGCGCCACCCACGCACGCGCCGCGCTACCCACGCACGCGCTGCGAGAACCCACGCACGCGCTGCGCATCCCACGCACGCGCTGCGAGAACCCACGCACGCGCCTCGCGACCCACGCACGCGCTGCGAGACCCACGCATGCGCTGCGAGACCCACGCACGCGCCTCGCGACCCACGCACGCGCTGCGCGCCCAAGCAGGCAGGCAGGAAGGCGCTCGCTACTTCGAGAAGAGAAAACTTAGATGCCTTTTTAAGTTGAATTCCGTTCCGTTGATATGACAAAAAATTAACATATCGTATTTTTTTTATATATATAATGTATTTATTTATTGTTCAACCGACAAACTTGCATTAAAGATGAAAACACTGTAAAGCTACCTGGCCCGAATTCATTTGTTGTCGCCGAGTTTTTTTTGCAAGCACCCTTTAGAGAGGAAGAAGCAACGCAGTGTTTAAAGTGCTGCAAGACCTCGAGTGAAGCGGCGCATTAAACAGATGTTGGCTTAACCGATTAAGGGATTCCTTTAAACGTGTCCAAGCCGCTTTGCCTTGCTGCCTTAAACGAACGTGTTTAGCAAACATTGCCGCGATGATCTGAACCACTGTTATCGCCTTCGGTGAACGCGTCGCGCGCTGCGAGTCACGGGCATGACCCCGCGTATCTCTTTCCGTTCTCACGTGCCAAGGCAGATCTGCTTCGCCAGTCGCTGCCCTATTAAAGCAAATCAAGGAAGCACGCGACACCGACTGAGTATTGCGTTTTTCATGACAACGCAGTGACTCTCATTTATCATCATCATTCATGTTACGTGTCCATCCACTGTTGAATGAAGGCCTTCCCGCTTCCGTGTCGCGCATGTGGATTATTTGACATTACATTGCAGCACTTCGACTAGGCTGGTCGGGTGCGGGTTCGTCAAGGGGGAGGGAGGCTCAGGAGCCGCTCGGATATCGCTGGTCGCTTCGCCTTGGTTGGGTGTCGAACGTAGCAAAATTGCGCGAACCGCCGCACCACCGTTCACCAGTGTGGCATGTACACTATAGGGCTTTCGGCGATCGTGATCTTGAGCGAGTGAATTGGTGAGTGATGCAAATTCTAGTTTTTAAATATATATATAGAAGGGCAAGTAACCCGAAGTTTGGCACAATTATAGTCGAGATCTTGATTATATTATAATTTAAACAATTCCAAAAGACAATGTTCGCTTTTTGGTCCTACAGAGTTTGATTAGTTTAACTCTTGGTAATTATTAAAACGATCATCATCCTCGGTGAACCAAGTGCTTCCCTGGATAGAGTTGGACGCAAAGAAAACAGGCAAAGCCCGCTAGCAGTTACTCAAACACAAACAAAGATCCCCGTAAAACCTTAACAGACTTTTGGAGCAAGCGCTGTTCGCGAGCGCCTATGAAAGCCAACACGGCTCACGAGAGGTGACTTTATTTCCATAGTGGGTTATATCTAACACACTCATTCCAGACTGAGTCGATCGAGGAGAGGCCCAGGACCGGTTCAGATAATCGTCACTGGTGTTGGTGGGCGTGGGTGGAAATCGAACTCGGCTCGCCGGGTTCGTAGCGCAGAACCCTAACCACTAAACACAAAGAAAAAGACCCCCGTATAGCCTTAACAGACTTTAGGGGCAAGTGCTGTTAGCGAGCACCTATGAAGGCCGGAACGGTACGCGAGGGGGTGGGTGGCCAGCACCACGCCCGACCGCCTTTGTCTCCCCAATGGCGATGTTTACAACACACCGCACCAGGTGCTCATTTGAGGCTAGGGGAGGCCCAGGACCGGTTCAGATAATTATAATTGTCACTGGTGTTTGGCCGTGAACTGGAATCGAACCTGGGTCGCCGGGTTCATAGCGCAGCGAGCTAACCGCAAAACTACCGCTACCAACTACAAAAATCCCCCATTTAGCCTTAACAGACTGTAGGGGCAAGTGTTATTAGCGAGCACCTATTAGGGCCGGAACGGCACACGAGGGGGTGGGTGGCCAACACCACGCCCGGCGGCCTTTGTCTCCCCAGTGACGATGTTTGAGGCTGAGTCGACCTAGGGGAGGCCCTGAACCGGTTCAGATAATAGTCACCGGTGTTGGCCGTGAGCGGGAATCGAACCCGGGTCGCCGGGTTCATAGCGCAGTGCGCTAACCGCTACACAACCGCTCCCCACCTACTAATTACACACACACAGAAACACACCGCGAAATTGTGTACTTTGTGATGGCTAAGTTATGGATCGACGGTAGAAGTACGCACGTGACCAGTAGCCACAGCAATAGCGAGAGGTGAACAACGCCACACGAAAGAAGGTGCAAACCATCGGGCAAATACCTCTGACGACTGCCCCGAGACAGCACGCGTGTCCATGGTGGAACAAGCGAACTATTCCACTGCGCTCCCCGAATACAGCACGCGTGTCCTCGTGGAACAAGCGGTACGACGCCACTCCGCCACCCCCGTACAGCACGCGTGTCCTGGTGGAACAAGGGGACCATTCCACTCCGCTACCCCCATACAGCACGCGTGTCCATGGTGGAACAGGCGGTACTACGCCACTCAGCTACCACGCCCGGATGACGTGCAGGAATGGCTCACTCAAATTAAACGAACAATTGTAGTCTGCTGCTGTTTTTCAAAACGCCACACGAAAGCAGAGGAATCGTTTGATTTGCCTGTGTAAAGGAGGAGCACTGGCGTATAGAGCGGACGTCTCCAAGGGACGGTCTGAGGTGGTTACGAGAGTACAGGGCTGGTTTTAACCGCGGTGGCTCGGATATGTTAACTACCTCGCCTGGTATGCAAGGAGGTTCGTGGGTTCGACCCCAACCGCTGTCACATGTATGTTTGGAGTTTGCATGTTCTACACATTTGGAAACATGTGTTTAGAGTATTTGACTGCTATGACTTTACACATGATAAGCCAATTCATTGGACTATGGTTTGTGGCCAGGTTGCTTCTGAAAAGAATGTGTATATAGCTCAGCGAGCTTTACCTAGGTAAAATAATAGGGTTTTTGTTTCTGCTTATGGAGGAGATAAAAACAGCGACCTTGATATATGCGGATTCTATTTAACGTAGATGACAGTTTGCGTGGTAATTTCCGCCACGTGTGCGAAGTAGTAGCGATATGCAAGCCCGCAAGACAGCCGCTCAGCCAGCTTGCAGGAAAGCAACCGTTCGATTCCAGACACAGCCGCTGACAACAGGCGATCGTGATATCCTCTGGAAATACCAATGCTGACGAATGATCAAAAAAGGCCATCGGATGCCATTCGCATTCGCAGGCAGGCAAAGTTATGTGGCTATCGTCCCCACGGTTTATGACCGGCCTATCATTCTTTATCTATCCATCATCGATGTGCTGCTGCGCTACCAGTGCATTATTGGCTAATGGATTAAAGCGTTCTCAATATTTCATGTGGAGAGACCGACGCTTGTTTATTTGTCTATTTATTTAT